GCAACCTCCACCTCCTGGGTTCAAGTGCTTCTCATGCCTCACCCTCCCAAGTAGCTGGGATTACAAGTGCCCACCACCATGCCCAGCTAATTTTTGTATTTTCAGTAGAGAATTTTTGTATTTTCCCCATGTTGCCCAGGCTGGTCTCAAACTCCTGACCTCAGGTGATCCACCTGCCTTGGCCTCCCAAAGTGCTGGGATTACCGGCGTGAGCCACCATGCCGGGGATTTGCACCTTGGCTTTAGATGAAAGGACCATATTGCTGGCACAGACCCTCCTGTGCCTGTGCTCACAGCTCTCTCCCACCCATAGCCTCACCGTCACACACAGGGTCCAACAGACTAGGGGTCCGAGACATACACATTCCCCAAGAACTGCATTTCTGAGGAGCCCTAAGTCACGCCTAATGTAACACTTTCCCCAGGGCAGTCATTCTCCAAGCTTCTTGACCTTGTTTCATTTTCTTTCTTTCTCTTTTACTAATAAACACGAATTAAAGGATATGTTTCTGGTTCAAGGCTGTCACTTAAGCCTGAGCACCTAACTCCTGACATTCTACCCTGGCACCTGCAATTTTCCACTGAAACTACCCAGAAATAAAATAGGTAGGGGAAATTCAGCATTAACCTTGGAAAGCAGGAAAGGGTGGGATCCTGATCTGCAGGATAAAGAGCCAGTGGGATTGAACTAGGGGAGGCAGGACTCTGGAGGTATATTCCATATGGTGAGAGAAAGTGCTTCTCCAGCACTGGAGGCAGTAACATCAAAAGAACATCAAAGATCGAGGTAGCAGACGCTGGAGGTGAGGATAAGACCAGTTTGAGCAGGAAATTTTCTGTCTAATGACTACCTTTCACAAATACCCCCAGCTGGGCAAGGTGGCTCACGCCTGTAATCCCAGCACTTTGGGAGGCCAGGGATCACAAGGTCAGGAATTCGAGACCAGCCTGGCCAACATGGTGAAACTCTGTCTCTACCAAAAATACAAAAAAATTAGCTGGGCGTGGTGGCACACACCTGTAATCTCAGCTACTCGGGAGATTGAGGCAGGAGAATCACTTGGACCCAGGAGGCAGAGGTTGCAGTGAGCAGAGATTGAACCACTGCACTCCGTCTTAGGCAACAGAAATGAAACTCCATCTCAAAAAAAAAAAAAAATGTGCTCCCAATTCCCATGTCTTCCCAGAGCCAACAACAATGCCACCACTCTTGTAATTAAAACAAAACCCCTGGGCTTCAGATGGCATCACACTCAAGAAAACTGCAGTTTAACAATGGAAAGATATTGACATGACATTTAAATATTTTGAACAAAACTTTGTTCAAAGGAACATTCATAACATACTTCATATTCTCATTTCTCTCAAGCCTGCCAGCTGCTCAAAAGAACTCTCGCTAAATTCTTTCAACCTAGCCCATACTGACCTTTATCTTTTTCTCTCAACCCATTTATCTGACAACACCAGGTGATCAAATCAACATATATCACTTTGGTAGTAGTTGAGAGCTATTTCTTGACTACAAGCGAATTACTGTCATTTTCAATGTCAAACATTAAATCTCCTCCCTACCCATATGCTATGGTTCGAATGTCTCTGCCAAAACTCACATTGAAATTTAATTGCTATTGTGACAGGATTAAGTTGGGACCTTTAAGAGGTGATTAGGCCAAAGGTTTCTGCCCTCCTGAATGGACTAATGCCGTTATCTCATTATCTCTGGAGTGGGTTAGTTACCGCTGGCTCAAGCTCCTGATGAAAGGATAAATTCAGCCTCCATTCCCTCCCTGCCTCTTGTTTACTTACTTCTTCTGCCAAGTTATGATGTCACCCCAAAATCTGGGACTTCCCAGCCTCCAGGAACTCTGAGCCAAATAAACTTACGTTGTTTATAGTTTACCCAGTCGGTGGTATTCTGTTACAGTAGCAGAAAACAGACTAGACATCATAACATACCAAAAAAGGCACAGAAACCCAGCCAGCAAAGCAAAAACTGCTAAACAGGTAGAGCAGGAGAGAACCTGAGAATAACCAAGGGGTGATTTTGTTTCAGATCACCAGGAAAACCAGCGTGTTGGACCAGTTTATCATTCTATAACTCGATGCCTGAGATCCCTTCCTAACAGACGTAGGTCACTGGCTTTTGAACATCATTGCTGAGGAAACACGAAAGAGTAAAATGTAGCTTAAATCTCCGTGTTTCACTTTGCACGGAGTGTGATTTTCAAAGGAACTTACAGTTTTGCTTCATGTTTGGAGTTTTTCCTATTTTCTTAGTTGAAGCTAAGGTGAAACAAAGCCTTCCACTTTGTTCTATAAAAATCTCCCGCAAACATCAAGAACACAAAAATAAATGCAATCAGGTTTAGATCATGTTGAGAATGTAAACCTGAACACAAAAGCACCTTTGTTTCCCAAATTAGCATGTCATTTAAGCTCTGCTGTGTGTGATTTATGCAATGTGAAGAGGGGGAGGTCAAAATGATGCTTTTCAACACATTTTTATTTGGAGTATATAAAAGTCAGTGAATACAGAAGGCACACTATCAAAGGGGAGCTTCATCTCATAAAAGAATAAATAAAACAATTGAATTGTCAAGTATAACAAATGATGTAATTAAGAGTCTTTAAGATTGTTAAAGCTGTCTTTTTTTTTTTTTTTTTTTTTTTTTGAGACAGAGTCTCATTCTGTCCCCAGGTTGGAATGCAGCGGCATGATGTCAGCTCACTTCAACCTCTGGCTCCCTGGTTCAAGCAATTCTCCTGCCTCAGCCTCCAGAGTAGCTGGAACTACAGGTGTGCACCACCACACCCAGCTAATTTTTGTATTTTTTTTAGTAGAGACAGGGTTTCACCATGTTGACCAGGATGATCTCCATCTCTTGACCTTTTGATCCACCCACCTTGGCCTCCCAAAGTGCTGAGATTACAGGTGTGAGCCATCGCACCTGGCCTAAAGCTGACTTTATACACAAAATGATTGCTTATGATGTTAGTGAAAAGAGAAAAAGTTTGGCTGACCTTGGCTAAGTAACTAGAATGTTTGTTTCAGACAATAAATGTAACTTCTCTGAAATTCCTAATCCCGTGTTATATTTTCCTCTCCTATAGTTATACAGTTCAAACATCAACACTTTAAAATATAAAAGGTAATGTAGTGTAACAGGCATAATGTGTTTTCTATTGTTGCAACTGCTCTTTCCTCCCTTTTTTCCCTCTTTTCTGACTTTTATAGGCTTAGCTGAGTAGTTGTTATAGTTCCATTTTATCTTTTTTATTAGCTAATTTTCTATTTTTTTGTTATTTTCATGGTTGCTTTAGAGTTTATGTCATCTCTCTTTGTGTATATATATATATGTATATATATATACGCACACACAAATATACACATATATTTTATAATATACAAATATAATATTTTTCAAAGCCTACATTCAATTGATTTATATCATTCTATGTATAGTTAAGAACATTACAGTAGTATTCTTCTATGTCTTCTTAAATGGTCAGTTATCTTTTAAAGAACTTTAAGTAATAAGAAATAAATACTGTATGTTTGCCAGGTACCATTTCTGATGTTCTTCCTTTTTTACGTAGATCCGTATTTCCATCTGGGATCATCTTTCTGCTAGAAGGACTACCTTTAACATTTCTTAAAGTGCAGGGCTGCTGGTGGTTGATTTTCTTCAGCTTTTATATCTCTAAAAAGTATCCATTTTGCTTTCATTCTTGAAAGACATTTTGGCTAGATATAGAATTCTAGATAGAATTTTCATTTTAATGGTTTCAGATGTTGATCTATCATTTTATTTATATTGTTTCTAACAAAATATCGGCTATCACCCTTCTATTTGTCCCTCTCTACATAACATGTCTTTCTTTCCTCTGGCTATTAAGATTTTTTTTTTTCTGTATCACTGGTTTTGAGTAATTTGATCAAGATCAACCTCAGAGTAGTTTTCTTCAAATCTTTAGCGCATTCGGGATTTGTTGAGTTTCTCCAGTCTGAAGGCTTATAGTTTTTGTCAAATTTGGAAAACTGTGGCCATTATTACTCAATTTTTTTTTCTTTTTTTTTGACAGAGTCTCACTCTGTCACCCAGGCTAGAGTGCAATGGCATGATCTCTGCTCACTACAACTTCAGCCTCCCGGGCTCAAGTGATTCTCCTGCCCCAGTCTCCTGACTAGCTGGGACTACAGGTGCCTGCCATCATGCCCAGCTAATTTTTGTATTTTTAGTAAAGATGGGGTTTCAGCATGTTGGCCAAGATGGTGTTGAACTCCTGACCTTAAGTGATCTGCCCACCTCGGCCTCCCAAATTGCTGGGATTACAGGCATAAGCCACCACACCTGCCCTAAATTTTTTTTAATCTTTCCCCTTTTCTTCTCTTCTTTGGGTTCTTTAAATGTATGGACTGCTTACAGCTGGCCTCCAAATCACTGATACAGGTGCTCTTTTCTTTACTCTTTTCCCTTTGTATTTCATTTTGGATACTTTCTATTGTTATATCTTTGAGTCAACTAAGATTTTTCTTCTGCAAGGTCTAATGTGTTGTCAAATCTCATTCTGTGTATTTTTTATCTCACATTTTGTAGTTTTCTTCTCTCAAAATTCATGTTGTGTCTTTTTTACATTTCCTGTGTATCTACTTAACTTTCTGAATATATGAAATACGGTAACTATTTTAATGTCATTCTTTGCTAATTCTAACCTCTGTGTCCATTCAATTGATTTTCCTCTTCCTTATGTGTCATATTTGTCTAATTCTTTTCATGCCTGCTAATGTTTTTGGATATCATACATAGTAAATTTTATCTAGTTGGTGCTAGCCTTTTTTATATTCTTTCAGATATTTTTGAGCTTTGCTCTAGAACATATTTAAGTTATTTGGAAACAGTGTGATCCTTCAGTTCTTGCTTTTTTTATTTTTCTTTTTTTCTTTTCTTCTTTTATTTCCTCTTTTTTCTTTTGTTCCTTTTTTCCCTTTTTTTCCCTCACATCAGATGAGTGATGTGCTGACACCATAACACAGTTTAAGGCAGCGTATCTCACGCTAGAGCACGAAAACCCAAGCATCCTGCTATGAACCACAAAAGGACTCAGGTCTTGCTCTTAAGATTTGCTAGGTCAAACCAGAGCAGCATTTAATCTGGGGTTATTTATTTTGTGTGGCCGAAGCAAGACTCTTTTTCAGTGTATCTGACTGATGGTGGCAAACACTGTTCATGGCCCTGCGTCAGTGCCAGGCACTGGCATACTATTCTTTATAATTTCCACACTTACACTTCTGCACACTCATATACCGGTTAGTCCTCTTCTGAACACTCAGACGGGACTCCCTGAAGATCTCTAGAGTCCTTTCTCTCTTTCTTTATCTCTCTCTAAAGGTCTCTCCTTCGTAATACTCTGGTCTGTGACCTCTGGCTGTCTTGATGTCCCTGGACTACTAGTTCTGTTCACTCAACTCAGGGAGTCTGCCAGACTCCACCTGTGTTCCCCTTCCCTGCACCACGGCTTGGAACATCTCTTGAGGCTGTAAGCTGGGTGACAGTAAGGCTCACTTCTTTTTTTCCCGTCTTTCAGAGATCGCTGTCTTTTGTTTCCGGTATCTGGAGAGACATTGTTCCACGTATTTTGTTCAATTTATTGGTTGTTTCTGGTGGGAGGACAAATCCAATCCCTGTTATTCCATCTTATCTGGAAACAGAGATCAAGAAAATCACAACTTTTAGACTTAGGTGTCAACTTTTTAGATTTTAAATCTAAGGAAGGCAAAGGAATCTAATCAGGCAGGAAAAATGAGGTTGGAAAGGGAGACTAATCCAGCAATACTTTGCTGTAGGATCAAATCTAGCCCTGGCTCCACCTGTCATTACGGCTCCAGCATTGTCACCTCCCCCCATCTAAATCATTCACTCTTAGGAGATCTAGAGGGTCCATTTGGCTCAGCCTGATCTTTTGGGAGCATGGGGAGTACAAATGCTTTGAGAAGGGTTGGAATGGTTATGAATACCACTGTGCCTTCCCAAGTATTTTTTGAGTGCCTATTATTGTCCATGTACTATGCTGGGATTATAGCAGTGGGCAAAACAAATCTCCCTGTCCTCAGAGATTTTATTCCCCAGTAATAAATGATAAATACCTTCAGCACAACACAATATAGAACTGCTATAAGCTTTGGGATTTTGCTGAAAAAGAAAAATGTGCTTGCTAGCAAGATCATAACCTAAGCTGAGATGAAAGACAGGCTAATCCACAAAAATTGTTTATCCTGTGTAAACACAGAATCTATTTAAGTCACCTTAGAGAGTCTTCTTTAGGCCATTTATAGAAAACATGAATGAAGCCCAGGGGAGAGTCTTTGCGGCAACAAAATGCTGAAGTAGGCTCTTGAGGCTGGAGATTAACGTTTTGTGAAAAAAACAAAAGCTGCTAATTTGTCTGCTGGCCCCATGAGATTATATATCATTGGAGGAGCCCAGAGAGTACCCTTCAGTTCACAAAAGGCTTTCCTCTCAGCCTGTCTCTGCATTGTTTAGTTACCTCCCCTCCCTAGAATATAAGCACTGGTCACTCTCATCCCCAGCTTCAGGTATCCCAATTCAGGATACCAGCTTGGGGCTGCAGTGGAAGGACACTGCGGGAGACAGACCCAGGTTTGAATTTTGGCTCTATTCCTATCAAGCTGTGGGGCCTTGGTCAGGTTTCTTCACCTAGATGCCCTCCTTTGTCCACCCCTGAAAATGTAGATACAGCTGTGAAGAAGTTTACATGAGGCTGAGCGTGGTGGCTCACGCCTGTAATCCCAACACTTTGGAAGGCCAAGGCAAGTGGATCATCTTAGGTAGGGAGTTTGAGACCAGCTTGGCCAACATGGAAAAACCCTGTCTCTACTGAAAACACAAAAATTAGCTGGGCATGGTGGCATGTGCCTATAATCCCAGCTGCTTAGGAGGCTGAGGCAGGAGAATCACTCAAACCTGAGAGGCAGAGGTTGCAGTGAGCCGAGATCACACCATTGCACTCCAGCCTGGGTGACAGAGCAAAACTCTATCTCAAAAAAAAAGGAAAGAAAGAAAGAAAGAAAGAAAAGAAAAAGAAAAAGCTTACATGAAATTCCTTCTGAAATATCAAGCAGGTAGGCACAGATCAGGAAATCTTTCCTTGCATTGCATTTTGTCTTGGCAAAGGCTGTATGTAAAGCGTACATTTCATTGGCTTTTGCCAGTCCAGCATCCATTTCACCTCTGAAAAAAAAAAAAAAAAATCCCAGATTCTTTTGGGGGAATTATCTGTTCTTTACTGAATACATTCTAGTGGTCTGATAGGGCCTGCCCCTCCCTAGCTAAGGGAGTAGACACATGACCTGAAATAGGCTGACCAGATGCTTCCTCCATGAGATTTTTATCTTCAGCGGAAGGATAGAGAAACTAAATGCATGTGAACGAAATAGCATCAGCCTCATCTGCATCTCTCTGCCCAGAGTGCTTCTGCTGCGAGACTATTCTTGTGACTCGTACTTCCAGAAGCCCTGGGTGCTTTGTTCCCTGTCCTTTCCCAACCCTGGTGCTGCAGCCTCCCCTCCACTCAGCGTTACCTTTCCGGTGAATTTCCATTTGATTAGGTTAGCCATAGTACATTTCTGTGACTTACAATCAGAGAGCTCTATTTGATCAGCTGAAGAAGAGGAAGAAGAGGAGGAGGGAGAGGAGAAACAGAGAAGAGAGAAGAAGGAAAGAGGAGGAGGAAGAAAGGAGAGAAAGAATAGGGAAGAAAACATATTTTATGTCTTATTTGGATTTAACACAGCTTGAGCCAACATTTTTGCTTACCTGGCCAGCAAAGAGAAGAATTAAACACAAGGAGCCTCAGGCTTTTTCCTAATTCACAGATAACTGATGACCTACATAATCTATACAATGATGGATCTTCTCAATAATTTATTTCATGTACAAGCTTCATTCCCTATAATAAACATATTTAACAGGTTAAATAAATGACGTGTATTACCTGCTTTCAGTGGGCAATCCCCTGCTATCTCACCTGGAATCCTCAGAGCCAGCAGGCACCAAATATCCCAGTTTTGGACACTGAGATTTGTCCTGGTTCTCTGTACCTTCAGAGGTACAGCTAATGGAGGTGCCTATCCCAGCTTTGGGAGGGTGGACAGGAGGACCAAAAGAGACTTTACGGAGGATGCAACACCGAATCTGATCTTAAAGGAATATCTCAGTGGACATGCTTAGATGAAGAAGAAGGGATGTTTGCAGAAGGAACAATGTATGCAAACACAGAGATGGGGGTGCTGTGGGGAGGGGAGAAGAGCAGGGATAGGGAGAGATCTGGTTACAAGATTGGAAAATAAATATAAAGAGGGTCCTTTTAAAATCAAAGCCTTTTGAGGTCAATGTACTTTTATCCAGAGATTTATATAGGGTCTTAAGAATACCCAAGAGGCCCTGTTATATTCATGAGGTAAAGAAACTGGAAGAAGTCCACATATTTTAGTGGTTTTGTTACCAGAAAAGGGTCCCAATCTAGACCCCCAAGAAAGGGTTCCTGGATCTTGTGCAAGAAAGAATTCAGGGCAAGTCCACAGAGTAAAGTGAAAGCAAATGTATTAGGAAAGTAAAGGAATAGAGAATGGCTACTCCGTAGACAGAGCAGCTTGAGGGCTGCTGGTTGCCCATTTTTATGGTTATCTATTTATTATATGCTAAATAAGGTGTGGATTAATTATTCATGCCTCCCCTCTCTAGACCATATAAGGTAACTTCCTGCCATTTCCATGGCATTTGTAAACTGTCATGGCCGTGGATGGGAGTGCAGCAGTGAGGATGTCCAGAGGTCACTCTCATCACCATCTTGGTTTTGGTGGGTTTTGGCTGGCTTTTCTTTACTGCAACCTGTTTTATCAGCAAGGTCTTTATGACCTGTATTGTGTACCAACCTCCCATCTCATCCTGTGACTTAGAATGCCTTAACCATCTTGGAATGCAGCTCTGTAGGTCTCAACCTCATTTTACCCAGCTTCTATTAAAGACAGAGTTGCTCTGGTTCAATACCTCTGATAGCTTTAATTTAGAAAAGATGGAAAACTTTGAGGAGGGCCCAGAGAGCGGCCAACAACCTTACAGACAGAATCCTGGGCGCCTTTTCCTCTCCATACCACCCACAAGACACTGTGGGTCTTCAGCCCTCCACCTCCCTGGAATTTTTCTATTGTACCATCTGTCCACTCAACATCTCCCCTAGATTTTACTTGTGTTTTTTATCAAACTTACCATCTTCCTCCAAAACTCATGGCTCCCCTTTTAATTCCTCCTTTAGTGAAAAACAGTCTGTCTTCTCCGTACACAACAATGGAGGTATAAGCATTATGTAATGCTTCCCCTGCCTACACCACATTCAAAGTCATACACTCCTGCTCATTCTCCCAGGATTCAGGGAGACATCTGCTTCCTTCACCTGATTTTAACACCTAGTGTTCTAATCCAGGTCTCAATGTCTCTTACATGGATTGCCTCCCCATCATTATCTCAGCCTCCCCAAGGGCATACACCATGGACCTGAGTTGTTAGGTCATGGGCTATGTGTCTCTAGCTTTCTGAACTACTCTGTAAAATAAGATAAGCAGCACCTCTAATTGATCCTTCCGTGTTTCTCCTTGAGGCAACCGGATATGGTAACAAATATTATACACTATTTATCCCTTTCTTTAAAATCTATTGCTTCCAGCTGGGCACGGTGGCTCACGCCTGTAATCTCAGCACATTGAGAGGCTGAGGTGGGTGGATCATGAGGTCAGGAGCTCAAGACCAGCTTGTCCAAGATGGTGAAACCCCATCTCTACTAAAGACACACAAAAACCAGCAGAGCATGGTGACAGGCACCTGTAATTCCAGGTACTCGGGGGGCTGAGGCAGAGAATTGCTTGAACCCAGGAGACAGAGTTTACAGTGAGCCAAGATCATGCCACTGCACTCCAGCATGAGTGACAGAGCTAGATTCCATATATATATATATATATATATATATATACATATATATATGTATATATATATATATATATATATATATATATATATACAGAGAGAGA